GTACAAATGAGCGTTCTTGCTCATTTTGCCTCCGAGAAATGATCAAAAACGGGACGGAAAACATGAAATTTTGGCATAATCTTGCACCTAAGTGTCTGATATTCAAATTTCGCTTTCTGTGTCAAAACTACTCGAATTTCCTCACTCATGTTGTTACGACTGAATCGACTTTTCAATTATCTATCCAACGATGCCAAAACGAATTCTCTAGCTCGAATGGTTCTTGAGAAACTTCGAAAAAAGCAGCGTCGAGTTCAAGTGGATTTTGCAACTCAAAACAAAACCACGCAAATCTAAAACTTCTTGAATTCAAGCATTTTTTGAGAAAACTGCCAACATTTCCTTATCGATGGCTCACTTTCTAAAAAGGCCATTTAGTTCTCTCCGGAATGATGATCGCCCCTGGTCCAGCAACCATGAAATAATGATGGCAATAAACCACTAATCCTGACTATAAAACTGTGATAAAATCTAGATAAAATTTCATTCGCAATCAATTGATGATTGCATGGCAACATTGTTTACATGCCTGCGGTTGAAACAATGCGAAAACGATGCAGGATTCATTATCCCATATTTAATAGGATATCAAATAGTTGAAGATCGGAATGAGTCATCAACCATGTCAAGGCATACGGCAAAGGATGGCAATGCGAAATGATGTCATCAACAACTGCTAAGGAGCGGACGTTTTGTAGAATATCATACATTTAGCGACAATAATAGTCAACACTTGTTCAGTTCAGCACCATGGTTTAATAAAGAAAGAGAGCAAATCCTCTTTGTTTACTCATCTATTACTCATTGCAGCATTCAAAACATGCTAATTAATGAGTTGTGAGTAAAATGAAAAAAAGTGTTAATTAATCATCGTTGCGATGAAATTGATGGACTCAAAACGTAAAAAAAACATAAAACAAAACCCCTTCATTTCTATTAATCGATTGAATTGAATATAATTAAATTAGTAGAACAGTTAGTAATCATTTATTCTCTAATCAGTGAATCGAATCGCATTTGTCGCTTATTTAAAAATTAATCGAATCTGTCTAGCGAATTGACCCAGGTAGGAGGGCATTGGTTGACCATTGTTTCACAGTTCGATGCCTACCAAATGCAAAAAACCACTCATTCGTGAAAACTCTCAGCCAATGTTTATATTAGAAATTCCGGTCCACCTGACGATGTTTATTGTCCGTAATCGGATCGTGTTAGTTGATATATTAGTGGCTGAAACACATGTCCAATAATACGAACAACTGTGGTTCTTTATCCGTAGTTCTGTGAGTTGTTTTTATGTTTTTTTTAAGCAGTTTTGTACTTTTCTGATACACCTAAGATTGACAAAATTGGAACCGAAAACCATTCTAAACTATTTGATTTCGATAACTGAAGGTTTTACCAGCCAGGGAGAAAAAGCACGATTTTTCTGGCAAAATTCGTTTTATTGAAATGTTTCCTGAATTTGGATAGTCGCAACTTCAAACAACTTCGACACCGTAAGTTCTTATTTGGGCGATTTTGCGGCAGCGGCAATGACAACTTTGGCACAAAAAAATCTAGTTTCTCTCCAATTCGAGGGCGTACAAAATGTTTTTTCGTTATTTTAAAAAAAATGTTTAAGGTTGGAAATTGCTAAAGAAATCTTATTGGCAAAAGATAGTTTCGGGCAAGGGCTATTTAAAAAAAAACTTTTTCACCGAACGAAATTTCCAATAAAGTCTGTTTAGGGAAAAATAGATCTCGAGATGCTCTATCAAAGACTCTTTAATCATTATTTCGATATTCTCAACTATTTCTGAGAAATAAGTGAAAATGTTGGCAGCTCACGAATTAGAGCCTGAGAAGGAAAAGGCTGAAAAGTTCTCGAAACGCGCAATGGAAATAACTTTTCCTGTGTAAAAAATGTAATTTTTCTCCAAAACAACCAAATTTAAAGCGTTTGACTAAGAGCGTTTTTTTGTGCCGGAAACAATGGCATTTCGAAACCTCCTCACATGTTGCCATTTTGCTCAGTGGCGTAGAAGTTAGGGCCAAAATAATCAGGTTAAACCCCAAAATCCACGCCACTGACATCTCAAAATGTAAATTAACGCTCATGCAGTAGCCAGAACTACTGGGAAAACGCCTGCAAAGTTCAGTGGTGTACCGCAGAAAGTTTCGGAATTATAACCGAAAAACTAAAGAAAAACTCTACAAGACTTTTTATCGAGTCGTGTTTTCTATGAATAAATGTAATTTTTCTCCAAAACAACCAAATTTAAAGCGTTTGACTAAGAGCGCTTTTTTGTGCCGGAAACAAGCGAATTTCGAAACCTCCTCACAGGTTGCCATTTTGCGCAGTGGCGTAGAAATTAGGGAAAATAATCAGGTTAAACTCCAAAATCTACGCCACTGACATCTCAAAATGTAAATTAACCCTCATGCAGTAGCCAGAACTACTGGGAAAACGCCTGCAAAAGTTCAGTGGTGTACCGCAGAAAGTTTCGGAATTACAACCGGAAAACCAAAAAAAAAAACTCTTCAATGCTTTTTTTATCGAGTCGGGTTTTGATCAATAAATGTATTTTTTCGCCAAAACAACCACATTTACAGCTTCTGACTTAGAGCACTTTTTGTGCGGCAAACAATGGCCTTTCAACAGGAGAGAACGGACTCATTGCCAAATTTTCCAGTGGCGTCGAAATTAGAGGCAAAAAACCTCACTACTTCCCTGACACATTCATAAAAACGCTTTAACTATTGGAAAAATAACCAAAAATGCAGTTTAACATGACTGTTTAAAGCTGAAAGACCCGCTCCTAAATGTTTACATTGTTGCATTGCACAAACATCTTATTAGAGGTTAGGAACTCCCGATTAAATCTACTAGACGAAAGATTTTTTTTGCACTTTACACTTGCGCAGGCTGTTTTCGAGAGTGCTGCAGTGGCGTAGTCAGATTTTTTCTAAAGGTTTCCGGATTGTAAAAACTCTTGAAACAATAAATTCTGCATTGTTGAATCAGTGTTTTGATTGTTGATACAGCACTAGATGCTGCACCCCTGCTTAAATACCTACACTTAAGAAATTATTTTTTATCCACATCGTTCTATTTGTTTTTCTTATGAGTTGAGTGCTGTCAATACACGTCAATATATCAGGATCAACAGTGCTTCTAACACTTTTGACATGAAGTAGGCATTTGTTAATGTGTGCTTAATGATAACAGTCCCACCTACAACAACCAATCCCTTTAAACTAAAGCCGGTCTTGCCAAGACGTTTCTGATGACTATTTACAGGATTGTGTCTACTAATTTACAGTTTTATCGCATATAAAACCAATGAAAGCCCGTGGATAGATGATGTTTCAATCAAGTCAGTCAATCAATATTATTTATCTGCGATAACCTGCTGTTATCGTTATGTCGGAAAACGTAAGGGCGTAAGATTAATTGCAATTTAAGTACATAGATATCTAGACAAACCTGTCTGTGCTTCATAGATATTGTTCGATCGAATTGCGGTACCGTTGAGTACCTGCCCAATTAATATTCGCTTTGCATTCGATATGGTGCCACACATACTTAAACCTATTGTAAATGTCGTAGGTGGGCTTAAAATAGGGGGCTATTTGAGCAATTAAGTGCGCCCAAGAAAACAGTGATACTTCTTTTTATATTCGCTATATTGACACTAAAGACTATATCGTAATGGTACAAAAACAAGCGAAGGGTTTGGGCTTCCGTTTGTCACCTGCCAGCCTACCTGATTTTCAAATTTTCCATAAAATGATCCAAGTCGATCACGTCCATGAGGACGAAATCGCCAACACCAACCTCCGTTGTTGTTGCCATGATTCCTTTTGCGATTTTTCTCCCGGTTTAAGTAAAAAATCTGTTCATTCTCTTCTTGCGATTCACTCGAAAGAAAATTCGCGCCGATGACTCAAAAACTGAGTTTGCCGATGACCCAAGACGTCGAATCCAAAGAAAAATCACACTATCTTCCTCAGCGCAACACCAGCAAGCAACTGAGAAAACTGGTTAAACTTTTAACGAAAATTTACCAACAGGGAATTCGGGTTATCCGATGACTGGTCACCAGCATGGTTGCCAGCACTTGCGTTTCCTCAGACATTTTTTTATTGCCTTACCTTCGTTTTTTGCATTCGCGACTTTTTTTTATTAATATTCAATTAGCTGAATATCCAATTTTCAGTTTGCGTCTTTCGCAGATCCTTGCCATTGAATTAGGGAGCCTCATTCACCTAATTGAAACAAACAGGGAACTATTTGAGGATATTTCTTGAAGGGTGGCAATAGCGCAATTTCTACATGTGTGGGGTTCGGCTAAACTCGAGTTGCATCGTGGGTCTTGCAACTGGCTCAGACATCTGTCAGGGGCACATTAAACTCTGCTATAGTCTATGGCGTGTGAGGAGTTTACGACCCCATTTAATTTTTTTTGCGGGTCAGGAACTAAAAATATCCCTACATGAACGAAGATTAAAATTTTCAAGATTACACCTTTCTTGGAAAATAAACATCTTTTTGGACCAAAAAGCATTTTTCGCAAATGTTTGAGAAAGTTTTCTATCATCGCCCATTGATTCAGTTTATCTAGCGCGTCAATAGTGAGACGGTGGATTATTTGACTCTTTTGCGAATTCAACAAAATGCGGTGTTGCCACCTGTTTTTCAGTTGTTTTCCTTTCATTTAATTTTAAGTTAGTTTGTTTGCGTTAGCATGGTTAAAGCGATTTTCTAATGAAACTGAAAAAGTATACAAAAAGTAAAAATTTATAATCTAAACCGACTCAAATTGAATTATTCTACATGCTAGATAACACAGGAAACCGTTTTCTCTAACTTAAAACGTTTTGCGCAGTTTGACAACACCGCTGCAAATTTGGCCGAGATGATTTTCCTCGAACTTTGCGAGTGTTTTTTTTGGCTTTATTCATGGACTATAGAGCATTTTTTTCGTTGAAACTGCTTACACTTGTGCGATAATCGCTATCAGGAGCATTTGCTACGGAATATACTCTAGTATGATTACAGATGCTTCCTTGTCACGTACGTCTGAGATGGACAGTGAGCCATATTTACTTAAGCACGTCAGTGACGTCAACGATTAAACATCGCATAAGGTGAGTAGTATTGAGTTTACGCGTTTTATATAATTTTGCTCAAAAAAGCGTATACAACAACAAAAACAGCAAATCAATTGTTCGGTATGGATGACCATCTCGACATGGATTATCGCGGGTACAAACTAGCGACCCCAAATCGTCGGAATGCAGTGAAAGAAAAGCCTTTCCCCAGTGTCGAATTTTTAGCCTTTTTAGGGCTTCTCGTTTCTTTAGTGATGATTTTAGTGAAAACCTTCAGTTCCATTGAAAGTAAGTATGCAGTTTATCCACTACTGACTATCTAGCTTGCTAACAAAACTTTGAGGTTAGGCACAACTAGGTCAGAAACAGGATTTTCCCATATTACGTAAAAGTATATGGATTTTCCAAATAAAAAAAAATCTAGTTTAACTAGAAAAATGTTGAAAATTTCGAATGTAGCTAACCAGAGATTTGTTACAAAAAATACTAGATTGAAGCACAGCTGCTGAGGCAGGTCTGAAATCGACGTCTAGTCAGTGTTTTTAATGTATATTTTGGTCATTTTTTCACGCAATATAATAGAAACAATGGTAATCAACACAAATCCATTTTCCAATGTGTTTGCAGAAGTTCCCGACATCAAACTCAACCTGGAATTAATTCCATTGCACGTAATTGTTGAGAGTGGAGAAGCCGCTGTTTCAAAGTCCTGGGGCTTAATAGTGCAGTTTCGTAGACCTCTGCAGGCCATTGCTGCTGGCTTGCTGCTAACTTATTGCACTTGGATGTGCGTGTTTTTAGACTCGCAAGTCCCCGGCGTTTATCCTCCCAGTCCTTTATCGCCTCGCAGGTAATGACGAAGGTTTTACTCAAACCAGTTTCACATTTCCTTATTTTACGACGTTTTCAGGGGTTCATCGGGAATAAGCATGCATTCTGGATATGCTTTCACTCTGATTTTGGGCGTGCTTGCTGGCAGCTACATATATTATAAAGATCTGTTCGGGTGATGAAGATATGAGTGCGTTTAGAAACTTTCTACAAGTGTAAAGGAGTTTTTGTCGTGTTTTTTGGACACCACAGGGCAACTATATTTCCACCAAACCGACTAAAATGTATATTCACTTAGTTTAATGTCTGTTTGGTCTTTGTCTATTAAATAGGCAAATTCGCAGACTATGATAAATTGCAAAATTGGGTCTATAAGAAACTCCTTTCAATTTGTGATAGTCAATAGTTAATTTATTTATGTGTAAGATATTTACAGAGCCATTGTCAATTTTCTACTAATATTGTTTGTGAATGTTAGCTCAAAGTAAAATGTTTCACTTTTCTTAGAATTTTAGGTTCTCTCATTACTATTGCCTGATACGTGACAACATACATTTGTGTATTTTCATTATAAAAATTATTAAAGCAGGTTTATTGATGAAATTATTTTTTTTACTCTGTTTCCCATTTCCTATTTGTGAGCCTGGGTGAAATAATTATTGCATCGGAAATCCGCTTGTTCGAGCATTTTCCAAAAAACAATCGCCCCCCAAAAAACGGCGAAATTTCAAACAAATGGAGGTCATTTATTTGAATTTTCGCCGTTTTTTCTCGTTGGAAAAGTACTGACTGCTATTAGAAAAAAAGAATCCTGAAAAACAGCAACACAAAATTTTAAACTGGCCATCGTTCCAGCGTTTTCCCAAAAAATGCCACAGCCACATCTCATTTACAAACCTTTGATCACACATTTTGACTGTAATTGTTATCTTAAGTTGTGGTTATCTCGGTTTATAAAAACTGTAGATTAAATTGTGCAGCTTGATACTTATAAGCTGGAAGTAAACAGTATAATTTTTTAGTGTCCAATTGCTCCATATGGCGAACAAATCAGAAGTGATGAATCAAGTGATTTTCAGCGAGGAATTTAATGGAATTTTCAGCGAATCCGTTCATCCAGTGTTGTTGGAAGGAGGCACCGAAGGTATGTTGTAAGCAAAAGGCTTTCGAGTTTATCAAAGGATTTTATGCCGGTAGATTGCCATGCAGAGAAGATTGAAGAATGGGTTCCCGAAAGCAGCGAGCAGGTTCTTGCGTGTTCTTGCTGCCGCGTCACCTTTCCAAGTATGCAGCAGCAAAGGGAACACTACAAACTCGACTGGCATCGATATAACTTAAAACAATCCTTGCTTTCAAAAGTACCGATAGGAGAAGAAGAGTTTAACTCGAAAACTGAAAATGGTACGTATGGACTTGAGATACCTTAACTCTTAACATTAAGAGTATTTTGTCCATTCCAGACGAAGTATCAAGTATATCTGGCTCAGACTCAGAAGACGACGACCCAAACACTTTAGATACTTTCGCAACATCTCAAGGGAAGATTTTTCTGCAGAATGGCAGCGGACAAGTAATTTCCCTGTATAGGGGGGTGCTACTTGTGGACAAAAAGGTGAATGGCGCGCAAAAAAACAACGCAATTGTTCACAACGGGCATTTTCCAGGAGGAGATATCTACAGTAAATTTTTACCAACGCTACAAAGATAAGTGTGGGCTCAACAAGCAGTGGGCAATTATAATGTTGGGCGGGGGACACTTTGCAGCCGCAATTTTTAACGGACTCAGCCCGATACTGCACAAGACTTTCCATTGTTACACTGTGCGATCCGGGCAGGGTGGCACACAATCGGGAAAAGATGGAAAATCGGGCGGGTCTCACCCTAAAAGTGCTGGAGCCTCTTTGCGGAGATACAATGAGCAGGCGCTCAACGATGTAAGCCGTTTTACCTTTGATTTTAACTGCTGTTCAGCAAAAGAATCGTTTGATTGCGAGCGTCTCCCAGATTGTTTTCTGTACCATCAGCTTTTTGTTCTCAGCACGTTGGAAGTATCCTCACTGCCTGGTCAGAAGAACTAAAAAACAGCAGCCTCATATTTTACAGAGCGTCTGGCCCCTACAACCGGGGGGTTCTTTTTGGGGAAAAGTCCTCGATATTAAATCGAACGGACCCCCGATTACGAACAATCCCCTTTTCCACTGGAAGAGCGACTTTTTCCGAAGTGAAAAGAGTGCATTCGGAGCTTTGCTCTTCCACTGTCTACGGTAGGTGATCTGCCTCTATTCCAAAACACACTTTATGTGTTATGTGGTTTGTTTTTAGAGTCACTAAATGAGGCAGCGAGCAGATTTGCGAAGCAGAACTCACCGGAAAGGAATGCCAAGAAGAAAAAATCGAGCTGTATTAACAGAGCGAAGTCCCGGGAATTGGTTCAAAGGGCTCTGCCAGCTGAATTGAGGTAATTAGTTGCTTCCTAAACTTGCCGAATTTACTTACATTTTGATTAAACTTCCAGTCGCAGTTCTTCCGAAAGCAATGCATCCGAAGTCAACTTGGCCGAGCTGAAAATAGAGAATGAGGATGAATATGAACTGAATTGCGAAACGGTGAACATCTCCTTTGAGGATCTAGCAGAGTTCGGTGATAGTTTAACGCCACAGCAAAGAAAAAGAGGACCGAACAGGAAAAAACCTAGGTAAAAATCAGCAAACGGTGTTCACTCTTCTAAAAAATCTAATAAAGAAATGTTTTTCAGGAAAAGTAAAAACCAAAAACTTCGAGAGAAAGAAGAAGCTCGCAAGAAAACCCTTATAGACGCATTAATTAAAGGAAACCCGTTAATTTTGGAAGAACTATTTCAAGAACGGTTGAAGACCTTTGAACAAGGCACAAACGTGTCCAAAGCGGAACTCTCGCAAGAGGTTTTCAATGAAATTTTAGATGAAGATGGGAACAGCTTTCTTCATTTGGCAGCCATAAATGAGCATGAAGAACTACTATTGTATCTGTTGAACAATGAAGGAGACCCGTGCTTGAAGAACAAGAATCAGCAAACGCCTTACAGTTGCACTAGTAGTAAAGTTTCCAGGGACACGTTTCGAAAATTCGCCAAGGACAATCCTCAGAGACACAATTATAATAAGGTAACCATTATAAGTTATGCTTATTTTATTGGGCGAATGGCTGGATGTGCGTTTTAAGGCCCAAATTCCCGTTAACGCATTGACAGATGAAGAACTCGCAGAGAAAAGGCGTGCGCTAAGAAAAGTCAAAAAGGAGAAAGAAAAGGAAAAGAAGAAAGAAAATCACATCAAACATCAAGAGGAAGAACAGAAAAATCGGTTTTTGCATTTAACCGACAGGGAAAAAGTACGTTGAGCAGTTAATCGGCGCATTTTCTCAAGTATATTGTGTTTTTTTTTGTTATTTCAGAGAGCATTAGCAGCTGAAAGACGAATTTTGAATTCCCAAGGCAAAGTGGTAGCCCGCTGTTTTCTATGTGGAGCCGATATGGCCGGTAAGGTGCCTTTCGAATATTTGGAAAACAGATTTTGCTCAATCGACTGTTTGAAAGCTCATCGAATAAAAACGATCAGTTGTTAAATTTCTTGTTGTCCCAAATGCAGAATAATTGGTCAATAAGCAAGGAATGTAATGCTTTGAGCTGGTAAAACACAGAGTCAACTAACTGTTTTTATTCAACATTAATTCACATGTAAGGAAAATACCACTGTGACGAATAATACTTTTTTTGAACTAAAAAACACATCAATATGTAAACAAGTATGTCGTCCATCTAGCTTGGAAGAACGTTGAATTAACTGATCTGTATTTCACATTAAAATACGCACTTTATTTTAAAAATTCCAAAAATAAATCAGTTCATTTTTCAAAAATACGCCCTTGCTTTGAAACTGATCGTGCCAAATCACAATTTCGCTCTTTTTGCGTTCGGTGTACAAGTTGGGCCGTTTATCGTAGGCCATATTTTCTAAGGATATTCACAAACTAAAAAAGGATTGCGGAATGATCCAAGCCAAGTACCAAGCGTATACAATTAATAAACCCGAATCATTAGATTCTTTGTAAAATCGTCAAAAGCTGAACATTTTGTATCTTTCAAAATATTGAAGTTATAAAACACGAGAAGAACTTTCAAATACAATGTAACCTTTGGTCCATGTTATCAGAAAACGATGTTTTCTGAAAAGTAAAAACTAACTAATAACAAAACCACTACTAACCTAGCAAAAAAATCTATAAACCTACAAACAACAAAAATTTTCATAAATATAATAAAACCATACTTAAAATCAAACAAATTACGGATAGGAACGCTAAACAAAAACCCTGCAAACCATTGGTAAATATCACAATTGATAGTATCTTGGATAAGCATTTAAAATCGCGCATATGTGGAGGCTTTGTGAAGGTTCTTAAACCGTTTACTTGGTTGTAATATTTATATTCAAGACATGATTGATTTTGTGTATTTTTCAGTATCATAATATACCTAGTCATGTGGGTGCGTTTATAGAAATATTTTAACTTACTGGAAAACTTGTTCATTCATTTTCATATTTCAATGGCAATGAGCGCACTTCGTATATTTAGAGAATAAACAAGTTTCCAGCTCAATTAGACTTCGCTGGCAACATATTCACTCTGGTAATTTCGGAGTCATCACAGGTACGAGAAAATCTTCCATATTTGGAATCACCATCACTTTCTAAAAGAGAAGTTTACACTATTTTTTAGACACTTTTCACGTTGATAATTATACTTACTTCGAATTCTTGTACAATCTTTTTCTCTATCCAGCTCGTAACCATTGTGTTATTGAAGTTTCTTTCGCCCACAATGGGACAAGCGGTTAAAATCAGTTTAGGTGCTGGTCGGAACCCCACCCAAACCCTGTCGTTGGGTGGAGGTGGAATATTCAGAACCAAAGTACCTGAGAGAGCTTTCAATTCAACTGTTAGTCGCAGTTCGGTATTAGAAACACCTGTAATCAAATTAATTTTCGTTTAGACTCGAACATTTTTCAGTAGAAGTCAAATTATGGTCTTACCTTCCATCGCTTTTTTAATATATCGATTTTCAGCAGCCGCTTGAAAGATTTTGGATTCCGCGATTCTATCCACCATTTTTATGAATTTCTTCTTTTTTTCATAAACAAGAGCGCGTTCTCCGGTGCCTTCTCTATTTACTGGCAGCTCCTGAAGGCCTTCTTCATCTGTGCTGCTTTCAGCCGAATCGTCCACATCCGAGTGGTAGATCGCTAATTTTATCTCCAGCCCCAACTTATCTGTTTTTGAATCGGGGATAGATTGGTGTTTCAAAAAACCATTCTCTTACCATTAGCTTGAGGATTCTTGAGCTTCATCAAGTTTAACTTAGTTTGCAGGGTCAGCACGACCGATCCTTCATAAGACATGTCCAGATCCACCCACAAGCCGCGATTGTCTAAAATGGGGTTTTCGGATTTCAGTATCAGAGGCGGAGTTTTGCCTAAATTCAACTCAGTGATGAGGATTTCTTCGATGAAATAGGGCAACTTGATGGTCTGCAGCTTCTTCTGTATTCTGTTTTGGACTTTTTTGGTGAAACTCGCGTCACGGACGCAATCGAACAACACTCGACCTATTGGAGTAAAATCCATAGGATTTTTTTTGTTGAAGACTTGTTTGCAAAATATTACCTATGAGGGCATTAAACCACAGTTGAACATCCGATTTCGACTCATCTGGGTCTTCAATACTACTTTTCTCTGTGACTTCGCAATCTTTATCTCCTTTTCCTTGCTTTGACGATTTTCTTGAACCCTAAACAATGTATTAGGCACTAGTTGCAGTAGGGCCAAGACTGGTATCTATTTAATTCACCTTGTTAAATATGGACATGTACTTTAAATATTCCATTTCGGTTTTAACTGAGTCCGCATCGCCATAGCCTGCAGCTTCCCTAATGTTGCCTCCATCTTGGTGAGTAGCTGCGGCTAATCGCCGAAACCAGTCTTCTTTCTCGCGATCCGTTCGACCAAATATGTAAATCTTGGTTTCCGAGTGGGTGCCCTGGATTAGAACGAAGAAAAATTTACGTCTGTGTGCGTAAACATTAGAGAATTACTTGCATTTTGAGAGCATTCTGATGAGTCATCGGGACAAGAATACATCTCATCATCGTCTGGTTTCTCTTCTGGTTCTTGTAGCAGAAGGGAGTTATCTAGCGTTGTTTCCTGCAATAAATCCGGTGCTCAACATTTGAACTTCTCTCTGGGGTTTCTGAACTTACAGCTATTTCAGGAGACGGAGTGCTGGCTCGTGAGTCCGAATCTAAATCAATGTCCTGATCTTCGGCTAGTTTACTAAACCTTTGCGACTGAAAATAACAATAAAAATCCCTCGGAGATGACAAGCGACGTAAGAAAGCTCACCATATATGGATATTCTCGCTTTTTAAACGTGAACTTCTTCTTGGTCTTTGGCGATTTCACTTTCTCAGCTGGCTTTTCTTCCGCCTCGTCTTCGAAATCCATCTTCACGGTGGTTGGGTCGAAATTCATCTGCTCCTTGCTCAGCATGATGCAGATGGGATATTTTTTACTCCACAGCCTAAATCAATCCGCTTGAAAACTCGACCATGTTACTGAAGTGTGTTATACCTTATTTTAGCCAGCCCTTCAGGTAATAAGGTGATTTTCGCGTTCAGTAGATTATAGACTCTGTGATGAACGAAACTAGTTTTAATTTCGTGTTCGTTCCACATGGCTCGCTTGGGCACTTTGCTCTTCGAGTGGCTGATTCTCAACAGATTGCCTTGCAGTCTCAAAAATACGGACTGCGTGTGAGAAATATGATAACATAGAGGATCGTAGGCTTCTGGGTACTCATTTACCCATCCCTATAAATGAGCGGTTCGAATCACGACAATCAATTGTGGTCGCACCAGTACTGACCTCATACTTAGTTAAAGGCTGATACTCTTTCACAGCCGGGACTTCCATAATCCTATTTAGAACGCTATCATCAATTGCCTCTATGTTGAGAGGCCTGCTGTAGAGCTTCATATAAATGATGGCTAGTATAAGCGTTAGGGAAGCACCTAAGAGGAAGCCAGCCAGGTAGGGCAGGTAGGCGTGAAGAATGGCATATGCGACAATGTAAACTGATAGAAGAACATAATTCCTAGGAAGAAAATTATTTGTCTGTTGACCTTGCAGTTTTCGAGATACTTACAGAATATTCGCATCAGTAGAGGGCCTCCGTTTGGGAATTCGGACGTCGATGAATCCAGTCGGGGCAAACACAGTGGACATCTTCGTGTCTTCAGCGAAAAAACGTTTCCTAACTTCGTCTCCCGAAACCTGGGTGATATTTATCACATTGTCTTTGTCGACATCAATGTTGACGAACTTTTGGGCCACCTAGATAAGTGGTCAGAATTGCAGCTGATCTGATAGCTATTAATAATGTTACCTACTTTCTTAATGATATTCTCACTCTCAAGGCGCTTATCATTTTTCTCTGGAGAACTTCGCTTAAAATCCGTTTCTTCTAGCGCATCCACAGCACTCTCCACGTCCTCACTAACATCTTCTGGTAAGGCCTGTTCCACGTTCTCAGTGTTAATATTGTAGATTTTCGAAAGGCTATTGATGTTGACCGTGCCTTCTTTCGAGGTGTTTTTATCGCTAGAAAGCCAAGACATTTGCACTAGAACGGTAAAACTATAGAATAGAATAGGATGTTTACCTGTGATGTTTGAAAAATCTGAATTTCTGCCTCAAAGTGTCAGAGGAATGCGGTTTTTTCTCTTTGTCAACGGATGAGGTTTCGTCGTCTGATGACATTTCGACGCCTAAAAATAAAAAAACCAGCATACAAATTACATTTAAGTCTGTGGTTATTTAGGTGCTTAATTGATTTTTAAATTCACAGTTTGTTTTCCTTAAACAAACGCAGCATGAGTAACACTAGTTTCGACTGCTCCAGAAATTTCATTATAAAAAAATATTGAAAACTGGTAAATGTAAGTAAATAAAACTGAATCATTCCGATCAATTATATGATAAGCGCAAGCAAGCAAAGTGCAACATTGTTTTCGATTGTTTCTCCTACCTTCTGTAGTGGAAGCAAATCCGCAAGTTCTCGAAATGCTACTCTCCGACTGGTCTTCAGAGTCAGAAAAGCTTAAGTTCTCCTTGACTTTCGGCTGGTCGACTTTGCTTTTGTGTAACGGCGAGCCCTCTTCGTGCCTCGCCTTAATTTCCGTTATTTTCTCTTCTACACTTTTGGTGATTTTACCCTTAAAAATTGCTCACATGAATTTCACAATCAGCTTGAATCTCGTTCTGTTTGTATTTGGGAACCGTTAAGGCAGGTTAGTCGAACGAAATGGTGTTTCAAAATCGCCAAACAGCAAAAAAGTTACCTTAATGTCGGAGAAGAATCTCCATGGATCACTAGGCGGCGACGAGCTAAGAGTTTGATTAGTAGATACGTCTACGCTTGTCGATCTCTTGACTAGTTTTGGAAAGAGTTTTAAAGGACTTGAGTCTTGGTCATCTAAACGTGATCAATTCGAATCAGTGCAAAACGGCATTTTATGAGGCAGTTTAACAGATCTATGTCTGCTAAGATATTGTTTAAAACATGTTGGAAACCTTAAATGATAGCAGCGTAAAGCCCCTGTTAAGTCAAACAACTCTTCATAATATTAGTTAAATAAATACATACTAAATTGATTTCTAAATTTAGCCATTTGATACAACTGAACACTCGAAACAACAAAATCGTGATTTCAGATTACTGAAAGCTAAAGCGTTTACACGCCTGAAGATGAAGATAATCTAAAGCAAATACGATAATGCTTGTTGATTTTAAAGTGTGTTAAAAATGGTAAATGTGTGCGTACATTTGGAATTTTCAATTAAAAACAAATTACCGAAATGGATTTGATTTCTGTTTGCTCCTTGTTGTCACATAGTTATAAATTAACTTCAAATACAAGATACTAACGATTGTATCTCCTGATAAAACGCACATTGTAAATCCCACAGCAGTCAATTATATCAATTATCGCTAATCTTTCAAGTGCAACGTTCACAATGCATCGATGGAACGCTTTTTTAGGCCGTTACTCATTATAAGTATAATCAAAATTCTTCGATGGTTGGTTTCAAGCATGTTTAACAATAACTGCTCAACTAATGCCGTTTTTGCAGTTTTTTTGGGGGGATTTAGCCATAAATGCGACACTCACTAGAGCTGGTTACAGCCGGCAAATTGCCAAACTGACTGTTTTTCTCTTCGGAGATCGGTGTTTCGTCATCGCTGAATCGAAGTTCCTCGATTTGCTCGACGTTAGCGTGAAACTTTATGGAAATTGAGGGTACGGAGGTGGTAACTGGTTTACCTAAAATAGGGACAAGGAGGGCTCAAAATGCTCGTCTTACCTTTGAAACTTTCACAATGAACACTTTGTACTAACAATAACATGCGTGGTATTTAAGGTAAGGTAAGAGACTTTTAAACAACATTGGTTGGGTGAAACATTGCGCGTCATCGATTTTAAGATTTGACCACTTTTGGACCTCGAAAATTTGTGATTTATCCATGGATTGTTTCGCGATTAGAAGCCTACAAGCAGTACATACTAGCATAGCAAACTAGTGAGTTTTACGGGGAGGTCTAGGGTAGCAATTAAAGCACACAAATACCTGAATACCTTTTAGCATCCCCAGTGTAATTTTGCCTTCTTTTTTCAAGCTCATTGTCAAGCTCACAAAACGGATAAATTAGGGGCTTTTGTTAGTTGCTTATATTACTACATACACATAGAAGAAAGCCAGCTGAAATAATAAACTCTCGCATGATAGAGCAATAGTCCGTTTTATTTCACTAGGAGAATAATATGCGATATTGCCCTTTAAGTAGCAGTGTTTATATGATGATTTCGTTGGGAATACTCAAAAGGCAATATCGGTAAGTAAACAGTGAGTGAAAATTGACTGTGATATTTATCCATCGAAGGAGGCAGCACGTAAAAACTAAGCATAAAAAACTTGCCTTTCTTAGCAGTGTCCATCGTTCATAGTTGGGCAAAATACAGCTCAATTTTGAGGATTACACTTATCCAATGTTTCTTATCATACTAACACTAGTTACTTTTCTGTAAACTCACATACAATTTAACAAAGGATTTGAAATGTTATCATTTTCCTGCAAAACCGCAATCGATTGAATTATTTGAAAGTGATTGTCACAGATCGGAATCTGACATAAGAGGCCAGAAGAAGTTTGGTTATGTGGGCAAGCATGCGACCTAATGGTTGCCTACTTTACTATATTTATATTTTTGTAATCTTTAATTGAGAATAAGACCGAGAAGGATATAGAGTGGTTTTGTTGTGGCTCAATCTGCTCAAGCAAGTTTTTCCTGTTTCTCGATAAAGCGGTTTCGTATCTGAAAACATTATTTTTAACTAAACAGCTCAATGCTACACGAGATCTATTTTGGATGAAACAAAGCACAAGGCAAATAATAGTGCTTTTTTATTTGAAATTATTCTCTTCCACAGTTGCCAGTATGAGTAGAAAAGGGAGAGGCTGTTTGCTCTGCTTGCTTTAGCTGCCACGCTTTGCTTTAAAATCAGTTTAGTCATCGCAACAGTGCATCGTTAGAGCTCGATGGTTGGCATCTGATCAGCGACCATTGGTTTTGGTGCTGTCTTTTTCTCGTTAACGCTATATGACGGAGAAAGGTCTATCGGGTTCAGGTTTAAGAAAGAAACAGAATGCACGCAAATTTCAAGAGAAGCGTGCCACCTGGCGATATTTATCCGAATAAAGCCACGTCATTTCTGTTAGACTGAGATTGGGACGAAAGATCCAAAAACAATTAAAATGAATATTTTTAGGCTTTTAGGGGATTTATCCCATCTTCTAGCTATTATGATCCTGTTGCAAAAGATCTTTTACAGCAGATCGTGTGCAGGTAAGTCGCTATTTTCAGTTTTATTCATAGTGTTGGCCCGGTTTGTTCAACACTGTTCAGTGTATTTGAGTGCATTTTGGCCAAAAAACCTTTAAATTCAGTACTTTTCACCATCATTACTGGTTTTTTTCGTTCGTTATTACGCTTGATGCTATTTGCTCTTCATGTACAAGCCATTGATTTTGACATCCATTCCAAATGTGGTTTAATGCATTTAACAGGCAATGTTGTAACGAGTAAATATTTCTCTTCTACTGGTAGCAGGTCGTTCAACCCGACTTCAAACCCGAATCTTCGTTTCATGGCCAATTTTTAACTTAGTTTACGTCTTACAGGGATATCAGCAAAATCACAAGTTCTGTTTGCCATTGTCTACACTGCAAGATACTTGGACTTAGTGACCGTCTATGTTTCGCTCTACAACATCTCTATGAAAGTGGTGTTCCTTCTCAGTTCCTATGCCACTCTGTATTTAATCTACTTGAAGTTTAGAGCCACTTATGACCGGAATCATGATACATTCCGTATCGAGTTCCTGCTGCTGCCTGCCATAGTCTTGGCCCTTCTGATTAACCATCAATTCAGTGCGCTGGAGGTAAGTTGCCTATGCCTTGCTCAATGTTCACTTGTTAAGAATTCGTCTTAATTTTAGGTGTTATGGACGTTCAGTATCTACTTGGAGTCTGTGGCCATTCTTCCTCAACTCTTCATGGTCAGTAAAACTGGAGAAGCTGAGAGTATCACGTCTCATTACTTGTTCGCCTTGGGCTCATACAGAGGATTGTATATTCTGAACTGGTTTTACCGATACTGGACGGAAGGGCATTATGATTTGATCGCTATCGTTGCTGGAGTGGTGCAAACAGTATTGTACTGCGACTTTTTCTATCTATATGTTACCAAAGGTAAGCAACACATTATTTAAATCATAGTCTGGTTTACGTACAGGAAAAGGAACATTTGTTTGCGCAAAACCAGAGTGCGAGGTTTTACAAATGTTGAGCCAGCAGACATTTATTCTTAATGAGAGCTGAGCATGTAGAATATCTGAAGAACTGGCGATTTTAAATTTAAATCGACGACGGCCTAATAACTCTAAAACCGCGAGTTATTGAAGGTGGCGAATGATTTTGCCCTCTTCAACAAGGAAGCCCGTGAAAATGGTCTCAATTAGCGACTTTACCTACTCAAAAAGAAAAAACCAATTCTCTAAAATGTTAGCCTAAATTAAACTCTATTGCATGTTCATGGTGCCCATATTAATACGCGTATTTTGTTTCAGTATTAAAAGGCAAGAAACTGCAGTTACCAGCATAGCTTCCCCAGCGATCAATTTTCCTCCAATCAGCTTCACGTTTGTATTGCAAAGTATACTTTTAAGTACAATTTAATTTAAAGAAAATCTGTGAAAGCCAGTTGATTTTTGTTTCATTGAATTGCTTCTGGGCTCTATGCAGTCGATAGTTGTTTTTTTAAATTAAATCAGCCAGTGTTACTTAAAAATTGATTTCCATTGATTTTGAACCCGAATGGAACGGAGACTTGAGTGGTTGACTGGTGTAAAAACGGTGTTTTTTAAGTAAGATATTTTACTTGTTTATACAGAAGCTGGCAGTAATTAAATGTGTATTTCAATCATCAGTCGCCTTTGTCAGAAAATTGAGTGCAGGTTGTTAAGTATTTTTTATTTTCTAGATTTTTGTAAGATTTTAAGCCAAAAATAAAAACGTTATAGTTAGCCTGATATTGGTTGGTTGATTAGGCGTATAAATGTAAAAGAGCTTTTATCTACTTAATGTGTTTCAACGGTTTGCTCTAACAAGAACTGAGTGCGGCTCTCTGGAATTATTTCTAGAACGTTTTAATCTACGCTGGCTTTTTTCGATCTAATGACTAACGTAGGAATACTTAATGCAGTTCTAACTAGGCTATTTAATACATTGTATATTCTAGCGCTCGTTTGTTGGTAGTTTACTAAATTGTAACTGAAAATTACTCTTCTATACATAGGAACAGTTTATTTAAGTGAAATGGCAATGTTGTCGATAACGGAAGTTATTTGCTGGGCATTTTTGATAAGGTTCTTTCGTAATACATTTTTTCCAACATAAGAATGGGAATTCAAGTAAAAAAAAGGGTTTGGACACGATGGGCAATGTTTCAGTCCATGCACGATGGGTCGAACTGGGAGAAGTTTTCACAATAAAGTATGTACAAATCTTGTATTAAACAGTGTCGTTTGATTTACCCAACTTAGACAGTAATATGGATTGTGAACAAAAAAAATACATTTTTTTGACTTTGACCTCACCCTGTGATTATTATTATTGTATATACTTTCCTGACTGAAAATCCGAAGCAAATTGAAGCATCGGCTGATTTTTCAGAAAATTTCAAACTTGATGCTGCATAGAACAAATCGCTTGAAAATTACCAATTTTCCAAAAATGGGGTAGCCAAATGCATGCCAAGGCTTAAAGCAGCAACAACGCTACACATAAAAACTGATGATGGTGGAAAAATACACCGAAACGTATTTTGATTGATAAATTGAGACAATAAATGACTGAAACCCAGGAATTAATTTGATTATTATTATTTCCGACAATTACAGGCCACCCTTCGCTTGATGGCTAAAAAACAGCTGCTTGTTATGCATGCCCTTCGGTTTTTTCCTCCATCTGGTTAATTTTATCGCCTGCATATGCAAGGCTTTCGGTTTTTACCGGCATTAGCGCATTGCTGCGCTCAACCCTTATGTGGATTTTTATCCCTATAACGAAAAGTAGCCAGATAAATAGTAGGAATTTTTGAAAAATGATCACAAAATCTAATTCAAACTAAAAAAAATATAAATTAATATTGAGGAGGAAGAAAAATGTAAAATATTTAGTTACAAAACTGGATTAACGGCGTGTATCACATTCCAGATTTTCTTTGCTATCCCGATCGTCCTTCAGGATAGAAAAGGATAATATTGCACAATTAAGGCTAATCTGGCCGTTCGAGAGAACTAGAGGATTTCTATATATAGCCGAACACCTGAGCTGCGCCATACGTCCGCAATTGCCCCCTGTACCTACTGGTTTTGTTGTTCTTTGTGTTCGCAAGGGAATTCCCCGGTTTTCCGCGAAAAGTACGCGCAAAACCTAAAAACAACCCCCATTCCAACAAAGTACTGACCCTCCCATTAGGATTGCATGGTTTTTTTCCGCGGAAAAACCCTTTAATGGGGCGAAAAATCGCAAATACTCGAAAAGCAACCAAACCGGTGTTAGAGAGCGATGGAGCGATACAGGGCCAGTCGGTAATTAATTCGCGGCGATCGTTACAGCTGATTCTGACACACGGCTGTTGCCAGGCCATGAGTTCACAAGCAGAATCCCAGCGTGCTATTGGCTGCAAGAAAGGGACGGTACAGTGGACCGAATTCTCAGAAACGCAACATTTTCAATTTTGTATCACGTTGTAGCAAATGTGAGCATGAAGAAGTTTCATACGGCAATGTTAGTTCAGCAAATATAGCTAAAATCATGATTAATCGATTGTAGTAAAAACAAAGTTTGCTAAGTAAACAAATCGCCATTAAAGGCTATAAATTTGCTCTACCTTCATGTAAAAAACCAAACTTTTAACAGTAGTAGACTGAAAATTTGCGAGATTTCACAGCGCGTCCCTGAAACGTTCTTAATGGAATTCGTGCCGAAATGGAAAAAATTAGGACTGAGAATGCTGTCTGCATTAGAAAGTTTTTTAATTCGAATGATTTTGTCCAGCCGCTTGCACATGAGTGGGCCGCAGTAGTTTGACGGGTCCTGCCGGTCGATCAGCTGATATTCCGGCAGCCAGAGTTCTTTGTTGGCCGGCTTTGAAGCAACATCGTCGCCTCGGGCAGCTCCGGAACCGTTCCGTACGAGAAAAAAATGCGAAGAGGGCTATGAAAATCCAGCAATTGAATGAAAATCTTAACTGCACATTTTGACAGCCGCTTTTTGAACGAGAAAAATTGCCAATCGTCATGTTCCGGAGCAGTTTTCAGGAGGAACGGGTCGCTAAAGACGCCTCCAAACTGCAGGCAGTCTTCACTAAACTGTCCGGGGTTCTGCCCCGGGCCGAGGACTTTCAGGGCAACAACATCCCGAAAATTATGTCCTCTGATATCATCGAGTCCGTGCTGGCTGACACTCCCGTACCTGTTCCGACAAGTAAGTTCCACCTCATTTATGTAGCCGCACCACCCTGTACACGCAATACGCACGTAGTACAGGGTGGCTTAGAAAACACGCAAAACCGAAACAGTTGCAGGTTTTTGGCTGGCTTAAACAGTTTCGGGTTTTGCAGTTTTTTCGGCCTGGGAAATTCCTTTTCATAGTTTAACCATCGTCGTTTTGTGCCAGGGTGGCGCAAGATTATTGCAAAATTTCATGTTTTCCGTCCCGTTTTGCATGTTTCTCGGAAGCAAAATGCAGCAAGAACGCGCATTTTTACATCATTCCAGAGATAACT